TTTGTTTGCCTGAGAGGGTATTATTAACATGGATATGGTATTAATGAATACTTATTAAATAAACTGTGAAGAAGAGTTCATATATATATTCTATAAAATCATACATAAAGTAAATTATTTACATTGTTTTGTAAATAGCAGACTGTACAACTCGCTTGCTTTTTAACAAATTTGTAAATAGCTGATTCTGTAGTGGACAGAGTGTAATTCTCTTTATAAACCATCTTTAGAAAAAGGATTAATCGCAATAATGGTTAGAAAACAAAAAAAATCATTTGATTTGATTTATGTAGATGTACAAGAACTTCTATGGATTTAATAACATGGGCATGTTATCAGTGCCAGTGACCTATGTGCCCATGATTCTCGGGAATGTGGCACACACCCTCAGTGCATCTCAGCCGCTGCTCTCTCCCAAGCCATGCCCTGCATAATCACTGTGCAGTCGTAGACCATGGTACCCTCTAGACTGTTTTATTTTTTCCACAGAAGCATAATTTATTTTTAATTTATGTGATTACTGAAAAAAAATTGAGAAGTATTTAAATGTTCGTCCATTCACTTTAGAGCAGACGTCTTTATGAATTATATAATGAAATCCAATTGGACGAGAAACGAATCTAACTTAACGGCGCAAATGTGTATAGAAATGGAATATAAAGTGTTCAGAACACCGACCGCCTCTGAAGACACAGTTTGTATCATGAGAGCCATGGTCAGAGTCCAGCTTTGGCCCTTTTTTTTATGAAAAACACTGTGTAACCTCATTCAGGCCTTCAGCATGTTCTCCAGAAAACTGTAGCAACGGACATCTGGACGAAAAGGACAGTACATGGACAATTTCAAAGCTTCAGGACACCATACTGATCATTCTTTCTCTGCCCAGTTCTGTTTAAATTGCATTTGATCTGAAAGTGCAATTTATGGTCCCCCCCCTTGTTCCAGCAACCCCTCGTTTTGATAAATACACATGTACTTTTTCTCATGCACACAATATGTTTGTCTGTCGTTGTATTTTGTCCTCTTTATCCTCTCTGCCTTCTCTCATTCTGTCTCAAAAACACACACACGCACACAAATGATCCTGATGCATATTGATGATCAGTGTGTTTGGAGAGTGACATTAGGTTTTTTCCCCATGGTCTTTAATGCTGTGATGAAAGTGGTGTCCTTAGGTTAATATGTTAAAATTGTAAATATTTATTTTGATCATTTTGTAGTAAAAAAAATATTAATGGATATGAAATTGCTCCTCTGTGTCTTTATTTGCGTTAGTAGTGTAATTTGAACTCTCTAATTCAGAACAAAAGATGTCTAACTCAAACAAGTTCACCCAAAAATTAAAGTTCTGTCATGATTTACTCACCTTCAAGTCATTGCAAACCAAACAATTTTGGTACCATTTACTTCCATTGATTAAAAAAAAAAAAC